GTTTCAAAGCTGAACCAGGAGAGGTTTGGTCTAGGTATTAAGAAATATTTCTTTACCGAAAGTGTGGTCAAACACTGGAACAAGCTTCCCAGAGATGTGGTTGATGTCAAAGCCTGTCGGTGTTTAGGAGACATTTAGACAAAGCCCTTAAAAACACACTTTAACTTTTGATCAGCTCTGAATTGGTCAGGCAGTTGGACTAGATGATCATTGTAGGTCCCTTCCAACTGAAATATTCTATTTTATATTTAAATTTTAATCTTTATGCATCAAAAGGAATTTTAAAGAAACCAAAAGTTTAAAATATTCTGAGCAGAATGTTAGATTCTCTTGTTACAAACACAAGAATTTTAGTATAGGGAAGCAAACATAAGCTGCTTTTTTTTTTTTTTTTTTTTTTTTTTTTTTTTTTTTTTTTTTTTTTTTTCGGAACAGAGACTTTCAACATGAAAATCAGTAGTGAGCATTTTAATTGTTTTCAAACTGAAATCATATACATGCATATATGCATACAGTCATATGCACAACCCCTCCCCCCAGTGACAGTCTTGTTGCTCTGACAAATGACAAATGTCAAACTTAATGTACTTGGATCAGTCCTAAGTAGTGACTACTTTTTTTAGGAAAAGCAAAAGAAAATGGATCTTGCTACTTTTCAAGTTCTTGCCTACTACTGTTCAGTGTGAAGACAAGGATCCCATTTAAAAACTGCTAGTTATGGGCCCTGATTCGTCAAACCACGTTAGTTAATGATTAACATTAAGGACAAATATAATTCCAACGATGCATTGCTGACTAGGAGTTTACACACAGAAATAGGGCTTCAGTCATACCAGCTGCTGATTACTTACCATCATGGTAAATATGCGTATACCATCTAATTGTATAAATGTGTGTATTCATTCTTTCCAAAAAAAAAAAAACCCACATGCAGAAACTCTTAGGTACTGTAATAGGAAAATTAGGTATGTGCTTAAACTCAAATCTCAGACTGAAATACCTCTTAATTTATGACTTGAGGACATAGAACTGCTCTTCAAAAAAAAAAAAAAAAAAAAAAAAAAAAAAGTAATTGACACAAACCCAGTCATAATATTGTGGCTATTCAGGAAAGTTGCTGCTTCATTAATTTGCAGAACCACAAGTCAGGTGAACAATCAGAGCTATCAGATTCACAATTCAGAATTTTTAACAAGTTCCCCTAATTAGATTTTATCTCCTTTTTCCTGTATCTGTTCTCTCTCTTCTTCTCTTGCGGTTACATTGATACTTGCTTACTGCCTTTGCTACAAAATATTTTCTTTTCTTTTCCAACACCTTTGCTAAAGAACTATGTAGTGCTTTGCTTTTTTTGCCCCGACTCTCTGGAGAAGTCCTTGTCATGTCTTTATTTCACTGACAGTGTGACTGATTCCTCACTAACTCCTCAAGAGAGGGAAAGAGTAGGAGAAGGGAGAGGACCTGTTTTGGTAAGGGCTTGGGTTCGTTTGCAGTTTTACAGACTTATGCCTGCACCCTTCTTTCTTCCCTTTCTCCTTCCCTGCCTCCTTCCCTCCCCATCAATACTTTAAAAATCATTCCCATTCATGTTGTGTGCGCACACACGCTGGGAGAAATTACAAGTGCTCTGCTCCAGGTTGCCTTGACAACTTCAAGGCATCCCTGTGTGTGGGGACCGGTGGCAGAGCAAAGTTTCCCAGGCCCCCTGGGGAAGGGGAGGGGAGAGGAAGAGAGAAGGCAGAGGTGCTGGAGCCAGCAGCGGTGTGGAGGAGAGAGCAGCAAGCAGGATAAAAGGGGCACATACATCTCCTGTGGGACAATGGAAGTTTTGCTGGCTGGCTGTGAAAGGACACACTAAGGATATACAATGGTTTGTGACACATGAAAGCTTTGGAGGGAACTTTATTGCTTCTCCATTAAGGACCCTTCCAGAGTCTCATTCAGCTCTAAGAAATCTTGTCAACATCTTAAAATGTAAATAAAACATCCCTTCATTTTATTATGTTTTAAAAACAGATTTTAAATATTTTTGTAGATAATTCCTGTTGTTGGTATGCAGGAAGCCTTTGCAATTTCGGCCCTGGACAGTACCGAGCGTCATTCTTGTGAGTTCCCCAAGTTCCCATTAACTTCAGTGGGAGGGAAGGCTGCCCAGCAGCTAGCTTCCCAGTGAGGGCTCTCCGAGGTGAGAACTTACTTCCTCCTCATATAGCTTTTGTTCATACTTAGGCCTGTCATCACTCTGCTTTGCATGCTTGCCATGATATATGCCACAAGTGGTTAGAACTCAAGAATAGAGGAATTGCTGTTCCCTACTTTCAAGCTGAGAAGTCACTTATATGATAGCAAGAGCAGGAATGAGGCTAAGCAACCTAAAATAAGGGCCCATGTAGTCACAGCTGGAGTGCATAATAGGAAACCAAACTGGAAAGCAGCTTATAAAGAAAGAGCATGACTCTTGCTCCCTGACATATCACTTGCACATGGTTCACCACTTAATTCCGGAGTAAGTCCAAGAAAGAGACAGGATCACAAGCCTTAATCCTTAAACACAGCAATCTTCAGTGGTAAAATGTGCCCTACAGTAGTGATTTTTTGGAGTGCAGAAGACTCAACAGAGTTTCAAGCGTGGACTACAAAGAAAGATGAGGCTTGGTTAAAGCAGTAAACTTGTATGCCTGTGAACCCTCTAGACTAAGAGTGCTCAGCAGCTGTTCCTGAATCTATTACCTGGCAAAGGTAGGATACTCAGAACTGACTTGATTTAACATCTGTTTATTTCCAAACCTTCCTACCAAACTGTATAGGTTAACCTTTTCATGCTCAGGATGTAAACCAAGTTTAAAGCTGATCTTAGCTAAAATAAAAAATAAACAGCCCATTGTTATTACTTTAGTAGTGGCAAGTGTGAACATAAAACATAATTAAAGTATACAAAGATAAAGCTGACTGGACTAGTATGCATGCATTAGTTTTTCAATTTTTAAATTCCACTTTAAGTTACATAGTGATATTTTAAAAGTAAAATTTGTAACAAATGCCATCTGATATAAACATCATGCAACTCAGAAGCAGATCCGAAACTATTAACTTTATTTTATGCACTGGTTAATTCTATTTGCATTATTTTGCATTTGCATTGTTGTGAGGACTCTAAAAAAAATAACTGATCATTCATCCACTGGCAAGAGGGCTACAGGACTTTCTTCCTGTTTGTAAAGATAAGGAAACTATTTATTACTTGGCAGTATTTACCATTTTCCTCACAGAATTTCAAAACATAAATGTAAACTTACCACAAGCATTATCATCCAATTTTACAGATGGAAAAGCTGAGCAGAGAAATGAAGGATCAAATGCTCCAAATCTTGGATTCCCATTTTCAGCTTCTTACTGTGCCAGTAACGCTTTGTTCATCCACTACAATGGCACACGTAAATCAAACAATTCAGGGCACAAATCTAGTGATATCCCTTTGTATTTCATTTTGTGCATACAAATCTTACTGGCTCTAATGGCTGCTGCTGAAAGGACAGGCAAATGCAGGCTGAAATGAAAGGGTAAGTATGAAGCATGTGATTGGTTTTATACTTTGAAGATTTGATCAGAGCCTGGAACACAGCCTTGATCTTAGTTACACCAGTGACTAGAGTACTTTCACTGTAACTCCAGCAGCACATACTTCCTCCTTTAGAAGACAGAATTATGATAATCTACAATTATTTGAGAAAAAAATTAGTTTTGCCAGGTGATTATACCAGTTTTATGTTTCCATATTATTTATATTCATGCAGGCCTGTTGTCTTATTTTAAATAATTTCTCATCTGAAACAGGAACCCAGAGCAGAAGGTGGTCAATTTTCATTATATTTTACATGTTCCAAGATGGCATCTAGATAAATGTGTGGTCAGTCTGCAGAAGTCTGAATTAGACGGTGCTGTACAGTGGTCTGTAGGATGAGATAACAAAGCAAAGAGATCCTTTCCTAACTTCTTTTTTTGTTCCACACTTTGAAAGCTTTATTCCAACAAGAAGCATCAGCACATTTCTGAGATAGATGGTGTAGTCCTCCAGATGAAGTGTGGGGAATTTCTTTGCTACTTGAAATTTTAAGAAGGAGTAAAGGGGCATCTTAAGGAGAATAGTAACTGCACCTGCTTGAAAAGAGAAAGAGTATTTCCATTTCTGACAGTCCTTATGAGACACTCCTCAGCAATTCAGAGGTCTTCCCCTGGCAGAACTGCACCTTTATTTAAAAAAACACAGTACAGCCCTGCTGGTGCACAAACACTTTAGCAGATGCCGTAGTGAGCACCTTAGTATTCACATTAGATCGGATGGATTAAGACAAGCCAAGAATTAGGATTAATGTCGTGAGTTTTGTAAATCTTATAAAAGACTCTAAATGAATATTCATACAATATACAATTCATACAATACATACAATAGTAAGGATTTTCTGAAACAAGCTAACAGCATTTAATCCATTTTAAACTCCTGTGTCTTGGGGCACAGGTAAACTAAGGTCATTCCATTAGGGATTGAAGAAAACTCTTCATACACATTAATTGTAGCAAAGATTATCAATATTACTTGACAGTACTCTGTTTTCTTTCTTACTATTACAAATTATGTGCAGCACATTTCTAAGGCATATTTTTCAGACTACGGTAACTATGCTAACCAAAACCCATGAACTGGCTCACTGGACTATAGGGAATGCCACACTGCACCAGACCAATAATCTTTGCTTCTAACAAAGTGTTAACAAAGCACAGAAAGCTGTAACTCTTGTAATAGAAAATTACATAGCAAGTATTAGGGGTGGGAGGGGAAGACAGTGGCAGTACCAGCTGCAAAAGAGGGCAAACTTACCTTGGGTAGCATCAAATGTACTGGTCGTCAAAACCCTTCTCGTAAAACCATTTTCATCATGCTGAGTTTATACTCTTTACTCACAACTGTATGAGGTGAATGTCCTTGTGCTTAAATTTACTAGGAATTGCTGCCCTGGATAGTAAAGCATCAGGAAAGATGGGAGTCCGAGCAGTAGTCTACTACATGAGCACTACAATCATTGCTGTACTGATTGGTATAATCATTGTGGTCATCATCCACCCTGGGAAAGGTACTAAAGAAAACATGCACAGAGAAGGCAAAATTGTGCAAGTGACAGCAGCAGATGCCTTTCTTGATTTAATCAGGTATGGCTATGATATTGCACATTTTCTGTACCATTAGCAATGACAGTAATATTTAGACTCGCAAGAGAACAAACGTAGAGAATTTCAGACAGTGACTGTATACACTAGCCAACTTTCTTTCAGCTATGTGATACCAATATCTCTAACTCCTACAACACTACAATACATGGATTTATTTTCAAATCAAGCTGTTGCAACGGAAGAAACTGTTTTTAATATTCAAAGAAAGATTCTTTCTTTCACACACAAAAGACAGACTTCTGTTCTGCTATCTGCATGGGTCTTTTCCCCTCCTTCCATAGCACAATCCTTATTACCAAATTCCTCTGCTTTCCTTTACTTTCAACTTTCAACAGTTTTCTCATTTCACTTGAATCCCTGATTTAGTTATGCATCTTAATTTTGAATTGTAGCTGCCAATCTGGGTGCATCTACTCAACTTGTTAAATTGTATGGATGGGAAACAAATTCCAGGAACAGGCGAATAAAATGTTAGAAATAGAGGGGCACAGATATAAAATCTTGTTTTCTCCTTGCTCAGAGACTCTACAATGCCTCTTTTATAGAGCTAATATGTCACAGATGTATTCCAGGGAGTAGGGAAGCTGAGGTTTTGAACTCAGGAGCTTTTCCACAGGTAAAGCCACCAAAATTTTGTGGTCCACTAACCCATTTGGAGAAGCCAGAGACATGGAGAAAGGCCTCCAAGAGTCATGCTGCCAGGAAGGGGGACTTCAGAAAGACCCATGAAGAGGTTTGCACTCAGATTCCTCCAGATTTATTCAGCTAGGCTGCTTCTAATTCCCTCAGAAATGCCACCATTCTGGAAAGAAAAGAAACAAACCCCCATATGTAACAAGTATACACACACATATATCATTATATATGTATTCATTATTATTAAAAGCTATTCAAACTTCAGAAATATTTGTATCTTAATCATGACTCTAAAATGAGTTATAAATATCATGATGTACTAGGCTACATGACTGAAAAAACTGTTTTAGAAGTAGAAATGCATTAAATATTAATAACTTCTTTATTAATCTAGATTCAGAAAGCATTAATAAAGATCCAAAGTCAGCACTTTACAGACCAACAGAGCTTTGTTAAATTGGTAATTTAGTTAATATTCTGCTCCATAACCAGACCTGCTATACAATATTTGATACAATACAGATTGCAAGTGCCAGGATCTATCCAACCATATCACATTTCATCCTGATAAAGCTAACCAGGCCAATGTTATATGCAAAGCTCTACTCACTGTATACATAATTACATATTTGTCTTAGTACTCTGAAAATTAGCTGGTCAATTATTTCATTAAATGTTCCCCAGCTTAAGATATTACTAGAATCTTATTACTTCTCATATTATTTTCTTTCTTTTTCACAGAAATATGTTCCCTCCAAATCTGGTGGAAGCTTGCTTTAAACAGGTAACAATGTTTTTCATTATTTCCAACTAAAACATAACAAAGTAAGAAATTGAAATGTAAGAGCATTTTCTTTAGGAATATCATGTATTTTTATCTACAGTAGAAATAAATCTTATGTATGCTGCCAGCTGTCAAAAAAAACCAAATGAAACCAACCAAATCTGTGCTTTGTTTTCAATCATATTGTCTCAGTATTTGCTCTTGAGAATTGAAGAAAACACACCTGGCACAGCAAATAAAAAAATAAGCTTTTTCGAAATGTCAGATTTGTAAGTCTACAGCAAACTTCACTAAAGTCAATACAGAATTCACTTTCTAAAAAGAGTGTTATGTTAAATTGGGAGATACTGACCTATGCACCATCTGTACAAACATTAGAAAATGTAATGAGAGAAACATGCAAAGGTTCGAAACAGAGGAAATAATTTCGTGGACATTAGTAACAAAATCAAACTAGGGGAGTTCCCGTCACTTATGAAAGGAGTGCATAGAAATGTTCTTTCTATGTTGTTTCTCAAATTCCTCTATCATTAGCCTGGGCTGATCTTAACTGTTCTGTGGAGAAAATAACAGTAACTAGTTACATTCCTTTTTGAAAAGGAGGACATTATCAATTCAGTGAAACCTGTAATACGTATTTCCATAGTTTAATTGCTTCACACTGACCCCACAGACAATCTTGAACTGACATTATTTACCAGTTATTGCTGTAGCAATAAAAAAAAGCTGAAATGTGGAGGTCAAGAAGCAAGAAGATGAAATAGAAACTTTCCAAAGTCCAGCTGAGTTACATCTTGCAGAAGAATTGAAAAGAAACACTATCATTTTCTTTAGTTATATAAACAGAGGCCAATAAAAACCAGTGACTTTCTACATTAAAGATCTGGTCAAGATTAAAGATAAACTAGACCCAGGTCCAAAACCAACAGACGCTATGCCTCTGTTTTCAGTAAGGATGGTGATGAACTCTGGACAGCAATGCAGAAGAGCAATATGGAAATACAAAGGTCTGTATCTAAACTAGAAAACAAAATTCAAAGAATTCAATGTAATAAAGTCAGGGAATTATACCATCTTTATCTTAAAACAATGAAAGAATTAGGACATAAAGTTACATATCTAGCAACAAGTATTTTTAATAAATCTCTCAAGCTGGGAAGTTATTATCTACAACTGGTGAAAGCAATCATAGTTCCTTTCAAATTGCAATTTCAAAAATATTTGGGAATTGATTTAAGCAGTTAGCTTGATCTCAGTTGTACTGAAGTATATGAGTACTTTGAAGAAAAGAGTAAACACTTTGTAATAAATGTAAATGAAAAATACAGGGGGGGGGGGG